CCCCAACTCCTTATAAAATGAACAGAAAATACAGAAAAATGGAAAAAATAATTGAAATCGAATGAAGAAAGTGATCAAAGTTCATATAGTAAACTTAGACAAGGGGCAACCAAGAAATAAACAATATTCACTGAGGTGCGTCTCGGTGCTTTCCCTGTGCACCCCGCCTCCCTGCCTGACACACAGACTACGTTGGCAATAGAAAGAGAGTCATCACAAGAACTGACAAGTCACCGATACCACACCAGTTGAGAGGAAAATAGATGAAAGTGAGGAGAAAACATCTGCCATCTTTTTTAAAGCTCCTGAACATTCACCACAAGATCTTGGCAGAAGCAAGAAAATTACAAACCTGCATGTGTCCCTTAGAGACAAAAAAAAACACTGGAAACCAGGCTGAAAGAAGATTAGCATTTAATAAATTTCAGAAAAAGGCAAGCAGGCCTAGATACTGCAATAAAGAAGACCGAACTCCTGACCCTGTCCCCTCCTCCTGCTAGCTAGCAGGATACAGAAGAAAGCTCAACACTCAACCTACAAACAGTAAGTGCGAAGAAAAGACTGAGCGATCCCAGGAGAGATGTAGAGGATTTCAGCGTATATCGTATGTCTCCATATCAGAGACAAAAGAAAAAGAAGATATAAATAGATCCGCCCACAGTAAGATACAAAGAAATGACACAGCAACTAACCATGCCGACAAGCCGGGATCCAGTAATTTATAGCATGCAAAGGATGACGAAATAAGAAACTGGTCTATAGAAAACACAGGACCATAAGAAAATTCCCCAGGGGCCTTTAGTTACAAAAGAAGTAATGAAAGAGACTTTTTTAAAAAAGCAAAATAAATCCTAAAGATCAAGCAGCAGGTCAGGCAACAACACGGAAATAATTAAATGGGCACCTGTCCTGGAGGAGTACCAAAATAAATAAATAAATAAATAAATAAATAAGGCTGTAACAAAAATTAAATGCAAGAATGCAAGACGTGGATCAGAGAATCATGTTGTATCAAGGTTAAGTGTCCATTTTAATCACCGTACTATGGCGGTGTAAGAAAATGTGCTTGTTTGGGGAAAAGATACACTGCTTATTATTTTTTTTTATAAAAAATTAAAACGTTTATAACATCCTCTCAAATGGTTCAGACAAAAAGAGGTGTGTATCTGTGTGTGTTTCTGTGTGTGTGTGTGTGTGTGTGTGTGTGCTTGTGTACATGCAAAGTGAGTAAAAAACAAAGCTAATGAACTGGGTAAAACATATATGGTATACTGGAGTTCCTTGTACTTTGCATTTTTGGCAAATTTTCTAGAAGTTTCCAATTCTATCGAAATAAAACCTAGCAAAAACATTTCTTAAAAGTTAAAGCAACAAACCTTTGAGGAAATACTTTTTTAAAAGACGGGCGATAAAGAGTAAACTAACACCAGGTGAAAACTGAAGTCCTTACATAGGAAACGAAAGTCAAGTCACCCCAATAAGTAAAAGGAAAATAAAAAATACTTAAAACAATTGATAATATAAGCAATATATTGCTTAAAGAGCATCCAACCTCAAGAAAATGGATCTCTGAGGAGAAAGCCAAATGGAATGGAAAAGCAATTCAAAGATACAACAGCAGAAAATTCCTCTGAAGTTAAGGAGAAAATCATTCTGCAGACCTAAAGAAAACTCTGAATTTCAAGAAATGCTGAATTATTGACACCAAAACACAATCCTGGTTACTGAATTTTAAGGATTAAGAAGGAAAATCTTCAAGCATCCAGTCAAAAAAGAAGCCTGTAACATGCGTGAGAGTGAAGTAAAAAAATCAAAGTAGACTCAGATTACCTCAAGCAGAATTTAGAGCCAGGAAATAGCAAATCAGTATGTGCAACGTTTTAGATAAAGGTCACCCTTGAAACCAGCAGTTGGCATAATGACTGTGTCGCTGAACTCCCATGTAGTCAACAGCAGTTCGAGTCCCAGACCCAGTGGCCTACACTCACACCAGATGCGTGTGTGTGCATGCCCAAGATCCCGAGAGGAGAATAGACAAGAAGGAATTGTAGCATGATCATCCCCACTTGGGTGACTTCTCACTTTCTGTCTCTCTGTCTCTCTCTGCCTTTCTGGAGAGCATATGTGCCCTATAGAAAAACCTCTTAAAAAAAAAAAAAAGATTACGGCGACCCAAGGCTATAAACCTTAGCTAACTTGCCGTTCAAATGCAAAGGCTGTGGGCATTGTGACCTAACATACAAAGAACTCAGGAAATAGAGATAAAACTACTATGGGCCCTCTCTGCAGGGAAAACCCTATTTGACAAATTTAAGTAAAACTTTAAAAACTGTAATAAAGGACTAACCCATGCCATATTCAGGATCAGAAGACTGGGGATATATTTACTAAGTGCAAAGAAAAGGAAATTTTCATCTACTGAATAAATCTAGCTACTGTGCCAACTGGTCATTAAGCTAAAAGACAGCGGACATACAAACTTTCTAGAAATGATTCAAAAAGAAAGACTCAAGATTGGGAAATCATGAAAAAAATGCTAGTGTGCTAAGCATTGAATTCATATGTATTTTCTCTAGGAAACAAATGTCAAAATAGGGCAATATAACAGAAATCTTGTATCCAATACTGTCCAGATTAGCATGCGATCAAAATCATAAGGATTCAATCATTACTGTCCAAAACTAAAACATATATCTAGAAATTACCTTTAACTGCTATTTATTGTGAACTTTGTCCCTGAATTTTAAAGGAATATATACAAAGAGTATAGATTGAACCATAAAAAGTGTCCAATATGCCATTAGTTTTGGTCTACAATATGGTAATGTCTTATAGCTCAACTTAATAACATTTCAGTGGTAAAAAATATTTATCCAAAATACACAATTTGTATTAGTTTCATTTCAATTTTTCTTTGATGAATCTGTATTAATATGCAAATATAATTTTTCAAATAGCATGCAAAGCGTAAAATCTATAAAATTATTACCATCTTTCCTTCAATCTATTCATCTTTCTAGCTATATATTCTTATGTGTGTACTTATGATATAAGCAAATGTTTAGAATGATGCTCACTAAATGTTAACAATGGTTGTTTTAAGAGTAGTTTGATTTTGTGAGGTTTTGGCTTTCCTTTTTGTATTTTTTGTATTACTTGAATTTTTAAAAACAAAGACCTACCATTTTTAGAAAAACAGCAAAGTCATTATTATCAGGTCAGTAAAGGAGGAGACACTAATAGGAAAATGGGGAAGAGTCGACATGCTGTACACAGGGCCAGAGAACTTTCCAGCCTGTCTTTGGGACCTGCAGCTGGCTTCCTCCAAACCGTGTGACTGACTTTCTGAATGAAACTAAGATTACTTTCCTTGATATTTTGTGACTAAGCCAGACTTTTGGTTGTTAAAGAATATGGTCAACTATTTGCTAGAATATATCCTTTGAAAATGGAAGTAGAATGGAGAAGTATAATTTCTCCTCAGACCGTGCTCTGCCAACTAGCAGCACTGGCATCACCTGGGTACTTATCAGATCTGCAGAATCTCGGGTCTCACTCCATACACAGAATCAGAGTCTGCAATTTAACAAGATCCCTGGTGGACCCATGCATACAATGAAGCTTTAAAAGGTTTAACGGCACTGGGGCCAGCAGATGATGTAATGGTTATGTCACTGGACTCCCACATGGTTGACTACAGTTTGAGTCCTGGACCTGGAGGCTTAAAACACACTGGGCATGTGTGTGTGTATGTGTGCCCAAAATTCTGAGAGAAAAATGGAGGAGAAGGGATTGTGGCATGGCCATCCCCGCTGAAAGATGATTTTTCACTTTCTCCCTGTCTCTATCTTTCCAGCAAGTACACTTGCCTTTTAGCAAAATTCTCTCTCAAAAAGTCAAAAACAAAACAAAAAGAGATTTAACAGCTCAACTCTTCAAAAAGACTGACAGGTAGCTTTAAAAAAGTCATAGAAATTTAACCCTTCCATTGGTTTTTGGGAAAAAAAAGAAAAACAGATTTTTTTTTTTCCCTGCACACATGAAGGTCCTTATGCCACAATTCACCAATGTACGAGACAGAATAAGGGAAGTCGTCTCTGGTGTGACCAGTCACCCACACGTAGTTATAAGAATTCTCGTGTGACATCAGAATATCCAAGAAAACAGACAGCAGGGTTGATGGTTAATGAAGTACAGTGAAAGCTTTTCATTTGCTTGCTTTCTTAGAGTGAGAGATAAAGAAATAGGCATTGGTGAAGCTAACAACATGTACAGTGAAAAAAAAAATAGCATTACCTGCAAAGTTTTTCAGCAGATTTAATTCTTTTTCCAAGCTGTCTAAGGTTTGTTGATCAAAAGAATCATCTAACAAAGGCTCATTCTTGTCAGAAGTATCAATATATTCAATTTCTGAAATTTCAGAAGCAGCTCTAGAAAGTGATCGAGCAGTTGCACTTCTTGATCGAGGATGAGATGGGAGGCAGCTAGAGATTTTCTCAACAGAGTTGGAAAGCAGTAAGTTCGCTGTTGAAGGTCTCCGTGAGCTCTGGCCTAAAATAATAAGTAAAAATGTTTTATATCAATTGTTTCAAAAATTCTAAAGGAGGACTTAAAAAGACAAAACACTGGACCCTCTGCACACTGACCATGCAAACCATGCAACAAAGTTCATGAGAAAATCAGGTTTTGATGGTCATCTAATCACAATTTTTTAATCTCAAATTACTTTCACGGGGTCATGGAGAAGACTTCTGAGTAATTTTGTCCTAATTTCTCTGAGTTCAGAAAAAAGACAAACTCATTTTGATATTCACTGAAGTAAAATATGTATAAACCAAGACAACTACAAACCAAATAACACATAACCTGATGACCTATTCCAAAGCCATCACTTCGCCATGTTCCTTAAATTCCAAGACACTACCACACTGTGCTTTATATGAGCAAACTCGTAAAACAGGATACCCCTTCTTACCGAACTAATTTTACTTCAAGTGTGCAATTCATTCTATATTAAAAAATGTAAAATTTTAGAAAAATTCAGGCTTCAAAGAAATTGAGATGATATCTCTAATTTTCACTCTCTGCTTCTTTAGAGGGCACCTTGGTAGAAAGTTCCAGAAGCACAGATCTAACTCAGGTTTTACATTGTTTCACTAGGACAGTCACTTCTTGTTTTTTATCTGTGTCGAAGATTGAGCCGATTTCTTCAACACTGATGTTGCTCTCATAGTGGGGAAAAGGCATCTCTTTCAGTTTTACACCAGCACAACATAACTGATTTATAATTTGGAATTTCTCACAAAAGAATCTTTAATAAAGGTCAGGGATATTCTAAGACACAAATTAAAATTCACAACTCAGATAACTATATGCTTATTTATTAAGTGTACAGATTTATTTTTTGAGTGAGAGAGATAGAGAGAGAGGTATCCACAACAGAGCCTTCACACTGTGATCTTCTCCAGAATCTACAGAGAAAAACCACATTCCTGTGTCTATATTGGGATATATGTCTCGGTCAAGGTAAAATCTAAAGGAATTTGGAATTTTTATTAAAGTAAAACAAACAAAAGGAAGATGGGATCAGTAAGGCTGAACTTCTGCCAACGCGGACAAATGCAAAGTGAGAAAAATTTAATATAATGCAGATGCCCTTCAGAAAATTCAAGGGAGTACAAACACTTGCTGAACTCTTAGAATAACATCTGGTTGACACAGAATTTGGAGTTAATTGATCCCAAATGAGAAAAAAAGGTACACAGAGAATGCATCAAACTTATGCTTAGCACACAGTAAAAGACAGACCATCTTACTGGAAATGTGCACCTAGTGTAAGTTAAAGTAACCAAGACATAGAGAGATAGAAGAGCCCTCAGTATGGTCCTTGATTTTATTTAGTTATTGTTCCTATAGATCAATATATTATTCTCACTAATGTTTAATACATAGGCTTATTAATATTATTACTAAGGTTAAGATTTAACACATTAAGACTGGCACTAATGAAAAATACCACAATTGACAATGATTCCATCCTTTAAAAAATAGCCCAGTTTATAGATTATAAACATAAGAAGTTACTTTCAGAGTAACTTTGTCATCAGTGGCAATGTAATCTTAAAAAGGTATTAATACCAATCAAACTTATGTTCTAAATAGAACAAAATAAATTTTCCTTGATGTTAGCAAAAAAAAATGTTCTATGAATACTAATGAAACAATGCCAACTATTGAGTAGATGAAATACAATGGTGTCTCTTTGAGTTATAGTAATGAGTACAAAACAAAAATGTGGATAGGAACATTAAAAAAAAATACATGAACCACAAGGACAGCCAGTGGTGTAGTGGTTACGGTGCTCAGTCTGCACATGACCAACAACACAGCTGGAGTCATGAATCTGCTGACTTGAAAAACATGCCAGACATGTGTGCCCAAAATCTCAAGAAGAGAATGGAGGAGAAAGGGCTGTGGTGTGGCTATGGCCCCTGAAAGACGCCTTCGCATTATCTCCACTCCCTGCCTTATCTCTCTCTCTGGTGAGAGCACATGCCCTATAGCAAATTTTATATATATGTATATTAATCAATCACTGAATAACTTTAATACAATGATAATTGTGATTGCATTTCTAAATGTTAACTTTAAAATTTTAATGAAATAGAATTATTAGTTCATAGAGAAAGTCATGATGTATTTTTTCTGTTTTTCTATTCAAAAGTGTGTCATGATTCTCCTGATGACCCAATATATCAACAGGCTTTTTGGATAATGTTTTAATAACAAATAATATTCTTATCAAATAAGCCAATATTTTAATTCTGAATAAAATTTGCAAAACATTATTATATAAACATTTTTAATCCATTGTGTATAGTGCTGAGAATTTAGACACATCAAAACAGAAATGGATTTTCTGAATTATTGAAACCTATTTTAAAATTTTATTTAGCAGGATGGATTAGTGGAAAGAATGCTAAACTGGATAGCTCAGAAACAGAAAAATTAGACCGTATATCTTAACTCTTCTCCAGCTCTGAGAACCTGTGAACTAATAAACAAACCAATTCAAAATCATTTAGAACTTCTAATGCTACTAGGCACTATGGTAGGATCAGGTTACTCCAAAGTGCAAGGGTCGCCTCTGCCCTCCAGTTGCACTGCACACTAAGGCAGGGTGCTACGCTACTTGACTCATCCAGAAACACTAAACTGAGCACTTAGCAGCTGCCAGACCCTGTTCTACACTGAGTTTGCATCAATAACCAAGTGAGGCTAGTACGACCAAGGGTGAGAAAGAACCGAAAAGACACACACTAGCAAATGGAATAATGCCAGATAGTGATGAACTCTATGAGAAAGATGAAAGGGGGTAAATGTGACAGAGGGACTCAAGAGATGAGCATTAGGTAGTGCGGCCTCAGAGACCTCAGGAGGTGGTGTCTGGGTAGAGACCGAACAGTGCGAAAGACTCAGTTATATGAACGAGTGTGAGACTGGAGAGAGAGGTGGCAGAGAATCCTGGAACACAAAGAAAGAGATGCAGTTAAGAGAGATGGTAGCCAACCCCAGGGCTGCTGTGTGATGCATGGTAGGGGATATAATTTTTCCTATCTTCTATGGGAAGCGAAGAGATACTTTAAGGCAGCATAATGACATAACACAATTTATTATTTAAATTTATGGAAAGTGTGATTCACTCCCTATAAACTGTAAACATATATAATTTTATGATCATAAATATAAACAATTCACTCACTGACTAGAAGTGGAAATTAATCATAGCAACATGATTTGGGGAGGGATAAAAGTAAAATTGGCAGCAAGTGAGAGAGAGACCGACTGAGCTCATCCTGCGCTTGAGCAGTGAAGATAAAAGTGCAGTTGTTGATAAAATAAACACGAAATTATGAACCTTACCTTAGCTTAATGTTCCACTAGCTCTACGAATAGATCCAGAGATCTGCATTACAAGTTTCCCGGGTGACTGTGCCCACACTGACACATTTTTTTCTTTTTGATAGGTAGCATGTGCACACGTGCATGAGAGACAGAGAGAACAGAGAATGCACCCTGGACACGTGCTTGTCTCTCTGCAGTACCTTCCCCAGCCCTGCAGCTCCCTAGGAGCTTAGGCATCCATGCATGTGCCTGGCGTGTTTCAGGACAACTCAAGAACCTGAATCCCAGTTGGCTGTGTGACCTCCAACACCACAGTCCACTACACTATAGACCATGCCACCAGGCTGGGTGGACACTGACTTTTGAGAATCCCTGTACTACCAGCATCTGGTAGCCTCTGTCCTTGGGGAGGTACTCCAACAGTTTTTATAGTAAATAACTGGTTTTGACTGATCTGCGCAAGTAGCTTGTTTGTAAAGATTTGTCCTACCAACATATTTCTCATGGCATCTATGTGAATTTGTTTTCAACAATATACAGTGACTTAAGACAGTTTCTTCTGAATGCATCAAAAAGTAGTCACAATTTCTAAAGTTGTTCTAGACTTTGACATGAGCATAGGTGCCCAATTATAGAGCTAAAAAACATTCATCATAAATCGATGATTCTTCCACTAAAAAAAAATTTCTGTATCTGACTGATTCTCAACAATAATGCATAAAGACAAAAACCTAAACTAGCCACACAGCTTTAATCATAGTATTTAGGGCAACAGTTACAAATAAACTATGGACAATTGTATAGGGATGAATCTTATATAAGTAGATGTCTGGCTTGAAGATAGACATTAAGCCAAAGTAAACATCCACATTATCAACTCTTCCTCCTAAACTGTGAGCTCCCTAAGATAAAGAAACATGGCTTATGCATTCCCTTTATCCCCAAGGCCTACCATAGTGCTAACATGCTCAACACATGTGCGTCAAATTGACATAATTCATTAGTTACCTACTTCAACTTCATACAAAATTTAGCATGAAGCAAATTTATTTTAGTATGTACAATAGGAGTGATCTAATAGAACAGTGATATTTGTGACATCATCCATTCTGTCTATGATCATTAGGAAAACATTACAGTAGACATTCAACATGTCAAAAGAGCAATCCTATGGGAAATCTTGCAATTACTTCGACTAGAGAAGAGAGTTAAGAAACTAAAATCAAGATCCCAGGATTCGCATACACTTTAAGGTTCGGAAACAAGTTCTATTAAACCTCACAAGAACCAGTTTGAACCTAAGCTATTCATTTCACATGACTATGTCTGATTTTAATATAAGCCAAGAGGAAGAGTATGCAAAATCTGGCATAAACACCTCTTCCTGAATGTGTAATGAAACCAAGTATGTATTTTTGTAAGAATTATTCAAAAATACCATATCCTGAGTTGCATTTATAGATATTATTCTCTAACACATTTTGATAAATAATAACTAAGAATAGAATCCACGATTTTTGAGAATAATAAGGAGTACACCTAGTTTTTTGGTTTCAAAAAAACCTAAGAGATTTAGCTAAAAATGAATACATTTAAATTTTATTTGTAAAAGCTAATTTTCAGGTGCCAAGCAAATTTCTAATAAACAAACTAGTAAACAAATGAATCACAAACACAGCAGTGCTGCCTGTAGCCAACCTTACCCGTCTGTGTCTGTTTTGAACTTGATGACAGGTTCTGAACATGCCACAGAACATCCAAGACAACTGCATTATCAGCTTGTGTACTTAAGCTAAGGTCTGGGATCCATTCTCTGTCTCCTGAAATGGAATAATGGTGAGACAATATACAGCTTTAAAAAAAGAGGAATTCATTTTATTAGCTTATCATACTTACTGTCTTACTGGACAATATTTAGCTAAATAAGAAATATTTATGACAGTGAGATATATTGTAAAATACAAAAATCTCATAATTATAAAAGCAACTAAATTCATATAGCTTGATTGAAAAGAAATAAATAATGAAAAGACTGCAAAGACAGTATACACATACGTGCTTAAATAAAAACAAATATTTTAAAATGTATGTATTTTACATTAATAAACATTTGAACACATGAATAAAGCTCTAGCTTTCAAAAGTAAACTACAAAATCTTGAATAGAAAAATCTAAATATACATATAACTAGTAATAATACTGAATCAAAAATATCCGAGCAATAAGAAAGTCCTGAACCTACTGCCTTCAACAGTGAATTCTATCAGATATTTTTTAAAGAACTAACAACAATCCTTCTGAAACTTTTCCAAAAACCTGAATAGAAGTTTATTACGCCCTAACTCATTCTAGAGTCAGAATTAACCTGAATATCAAATTCAAACAAAGCCACTACAAGAAAAGAAAACTACAGACTACTACCCCTTATAAGTTGTTGCAAAAATCTCAACAAAGTACTAGCAATCCAAATTCAGCAGCACATTAAAAAATTTTTATACTACTGCCAAGTGATACTTATTCCTGGAGTGTAAGGATGGTCCCACATTCAAAAATTAAAGTGTGACACTCCACATTAACAAAATGAGGGAAAGTTAACCGTAAGATCATTTCAATAGCTTCAGAAAACACCATTGGTAAAATCCATGATAAAAACACTCAAAAGCTGGGAACAGCAGAAAATTATTCCTCATAATAAAAGGTGTATTTGAAAAACTCACAGTGACCATCGTATTCAGTAGTGAAAATATGAGAGCTTTTCTTCTAAGATCTAAAGTAAATATCCATCATTTATATTCAACATACTACTGGGAGTTCTAGTAAGAGTAATTTGGTAAGAAAAAAAAATAAAAGGCACCTAAATTGAAAAGAATAAAGTAACATTATCTCTGTTCACAGGTATGATCTTATAGATAAAAACTCTAGACCCTGAAGATTCCACGTACACACACACACAAAAATATTCATTAAATGAATTTAGCAGAATACCAAGATACAAAGTCAACATGCAAAAATCAATTGCATTTCTGTACATTAACAATGAGCAATCTGAAAAAAAAATTAGAAAATACCATTTACAATAACATCAAAAGAATAAAATACAGATGCATTAACAAAGGTGATAGAAGACTTGTTCAAAGGAAATTAATATTACTGAAAGAAAATTTTAAAAACCTTAAATGGAAATACATCTCATGTTCATGGACTGAAAGACTTAACAGTGTTAAGGTGCCAGTATTACTCAAAGAAATCTAAGTATTCAAAGAAATCCTTAGAAAATTCCCAATGACAATTTTCTACAGACAAACAACAACAAAAATGCTAAAATTGATATGGAAGTGACCTGTATTTTGAAAAGCACAATAAAAGTTGAAGGTGTAACACTTCCTGATTTCAAAACATACTACAAAGATACAGTAAGCAAAACAGTGTGGGACTGTCATGAATAGTCATACAGACCAATGTAATAAAATAAAGAACCCAGAAATAAACCCTTACTCATTGGATCAAATTATTAATTAACAAAAAAAAATCACATATATTGGACCAGCACGTGGTATGGAAGTTATAGTACTGGATCCCACATGGCTGGCTGCATAGTTCAAGTCCTGGACCTGGTGGCTTGAAATTCATGCCCAAAATCCCAAGAAGAGAATGGAGGAGAAGGGACTGTGGTGTGCGATCCCCCTTGAGGGGGTGACTTCTCACTTTGCTCCCCTTTGTCTCTCTTGGGCAATTGCATGAGCCCCATAGCCAAAACAAACACAAACAAACAAATCGTATACATTCATGGTATACAATGTGATGTTTCAAATTATGTACAGATTATGGAATGGCTAAATGAAGTTAGTTAACATATGCCTTACTTCACATATTTATTTTTGTGTGTGGTAAGAACATTTAAAATTTTGACGGTGGTGTCTTGATCACTCAATGAGAAAAAGACAATCTTTTCAGTAATTGGTCTTAGAAAATTCAATATTCGCATGCAAAAGCATGAATCAACCTTTACCTATACCACATATAAAAATTAACTAAAAATTAATAAAACACCTAAATTTAAGACCTAAAGTGCTACAACTCTTAGAAAATGGAGGGCAAAAAGTTTACAACATTGCATTTTGACGTGATTTCTTGGATGATATCAAAGGCATAGGCAACAGGGAAAAAAAGTCGAATTGGACTTCATGGAAATTTCTTTTAAATTCTACATCAAAAGACACCTATCAACAAAGTAAAATGGCAGCCCACAGAATGAGATAAACTATTTCAGAATGTAAATTATTTAAGAGATTACTATACGGAATATAATAAAGGAATCCTAAAACTCAACAATAAACAAAAAAATTCAATTTATAAAATGAGCAAAGGATTTGAATAGCAATCCTCCTAGGGAGATAAACAAATCCTAATAAGCACATGACAAGATGCTCAACAAATTAAGTACTACAGAATCTATGAAAATCTAAACTAGAATGACATACCTCCTCAGACACATGAGATGGCTACCTTCAAAAAAACAATAATAGGGCCAGCTCTGTGCTGCAGCAGTGAGGAGCTGCTCAGGAAGAGTCAGATCCCCCATAGTAACCTAGATTTAGCTCTCTGAGCAGATCATCCAGAAGCACACTGGGCACGTGCACAAGTGTCCAAGAGCCAATGGGCTGGGGACTGAAAGAAGAATACTGTGGCATGATCAACCCTGTGGAAGGTGCTTCTCTCTCTCTCTTTTTCTCTCCCTCTTTCAGTCTCTCTCATTCTCACATGTGTGTATATGCACCCTGTCATTACTAAAGGGGGAAAATACCATTAAAAAAGGCAGAAAATAATGAGTGTGGCTAAGCATGTGAAGTAATTGTAATATTGGTGGAAATGTAGTAATATAGCCACTGTGGAAACATTATGGCAGTTCCTAAAAATTCACTGAAAACTTGGAAGCAAGGTCTTCAGGAGCTATTCGTACAACCTATGTTCACAGCAGCGTCAGTCACAATAGCTGAAAGGCATATACTATACAACCAACGTGTCCATTGAGATGAAGGAATAAAGAAAATGTGGCATAGTCATACGATGGAATGTTATTCATATTTAAAAATGAGAGGAATTTCTTTTTTAAAAAAAATTCTTTCCATTCAACAGTGACTTTTCAATTATGTCCCATAAAGCCTTAGGGATTTAGGAGGTCATACAAGAGAAGCTGAGAAGGAATAGTTCAAACTCTTTATTCTCAAGTTTATATATACTTATACTTCTTTAAAAAAAAAAAAAGAAAAGACGTTCTAATGTGCTACAAATGAGTGAAACTTTAGGACATTATGCTAAGTGAAATTAGCTAGTCATAAAAATAAAATACTGTGTGATTCCATTTACATGAGGAACTCATTGCAGTGAAAATCACAGAAACAAAAAGTACAGTGGTGCTTACCGGGCACTGGAAGAAAGAAACGATGACTTATTTTTCAATGGTATCAAGTTTCAGTTTTGAAAGATAAATAAATTTATAGATGAATGGTGTTGATGGTTGTACATTATAAATACATTATATACCACATAACCATAGAGTTAAAAATGGTTAAGATGGTAAATTTTAAAATTATGTGTATTTTGCCACAATAAAAAAATAAAAAAAAATTAGGAGAGAAAGGAAAATTACAAATATATCTCAGAAATTTCATAGATCTTGAAATTGTGTGATTCGTTTTCAGGATGGAACTTAAGAATCATCATGTAACACTTAGTAGTTGGTAGAATAATTCAAACACTTTCTGCTGTTTTACACTCTAGTAAGGGCCACCTGTTTACAGCTCTCCCACACCGCTACCTCTCATTTCTCTCTCCCTCAACAAGTAATCCTCACTGGAAAGCTGAGGAGAGTCTCAAGGAGTTTCTCGGTGATGAAAATAACAAGATGGTGTCTGTACTCTATGGAAGAAGTGGAAGATCTGAAGACATGGTAGAAAGGGTAAGTGTAGATTCCAGAGACTACAAGGGAGGGGGGTGAGTGGTAGAGAGTGAGTGTTAGAGGGTAATTGAGGAGGGACAATGGGAAGAAATATTGAACAGACAAAAGAAAGTGAAGTTCTATGTTGAAAAAAAGTTCTATATTTTTTGCTTTATAAAAATAAAAAAGAAAGAATTAAATTAAATTAAAATAAACAAATAATTTAGTAAGGGCCATACTTTTTTTTGGGGGGGGGAGAGATTTTCACTGTAGGGCGCGTGTGCTCGCCAGACAGACAGAGAGAGACATAGAGAAGGAAAGTGAGAAATCACCCCCCGGGGGGATGGTCACGCCGCAATCCCTTCTCCTCCATTCTCCTCTCGGGATCTTGGGCACGCACGCACACGCGCCCGGCGTGAGTTTTAAGCCACCGGGTCCAGGACACGAACCGCGGTTGACTACATGGGAGTCCAGCGACATAGCCATTACACTAACTGCTGGTTCCCAGGGCCATACTTCTAAATTCTAAAAATACTTTCTCTAATTAGCATTCTGACAGTAGCCTTAAATCTAAATATATGGGAACATACACAGTGTTAATAATTTTATCAAGGCAATAAGGAAATGGTTTTATTCACTGAAAAGAGTTGTCCAGTATTTCCTTAGATAAAGACAGACCATTTTAAAACAAAACAAAATGAATCTGATACCATGTCTGAATTTACCTGCGACTGTAACCCTAGTACAGGAATGGCTGCCCTCTAAGCTGTGAGAAGGAAGTAAGTGGAGTCTTTCATTTTTATCAAAAATAAAGAATCTCTCAAGTCCTTGATATTGTTCAGTTATAGGTTTACTTCTGCAGGCTATTTCTTGTAACAACTAGGAAACAAAATATTCAATACAATTAATTGTATTTTCCACCTCATCGAAACAAAGAAACATACTCATTCGTCAAACACCTACTACATACATGGCGAAAATCCTCATCGAGTTTAGGCTCTAATAGTGAAGACATAAATAATAACATTTATGTATAGCAAGTTCTGAAACATGTATAAAACACAATTACAATAATTATCTGAAAGTTGCCATCAATCCAAAGAATACAGAAGTTCATGATATAAAGTTCTCCTTTCTCTTTTCTCTCCTTTATTTTCTTCTCTCAGAGTCTTGGCACATAAATTATTCTGGAATACAGAATCTCTTTGATATGCAGTGCCTTTGAACTAGTATATTTATCTATACATAAAATAATTTCAGAGATGAAAGAAAAATACAAGTAGGAATGTAGGAAAACTAAAATTAAAGAGTTCATTTGTTCCAGAATATAGCCAACAGGCAGTTGAGGGGATTTGGGCACTCTGAAAGTGACCCACCTTGGGATCTGCACCCGCCTTGCTGCTCAGTCAATTTTGAACCTCTATCTCTCTCCCATAGTACATGGAAGGACTTTGTTTCGATTTTCCATAATCATCCTATAGATTGGACCCACCACATGAGAGAAGACTCACCTTTGATCCACTCCCTGATACTTCATTAACTAAGCAAATATCGCAGGAGGGAAGAATAGAGAATGTCAACACACTGGGCCAAGTTTCTTAGACGCTACTGTCTCCCAAGCCCATAGAGCCACCAAAGAGAATTATTTACTGCCTATCATCCAAACATTATCTAGCCAATCACTGCTGTTCCAAGACTCCTTACTGTAGCTTTTGATCAATGTAGCTTTTGATCACCACCCCCTCCCCATTCATGATTTTTGCCTTTAAAATCACACCAAATTCTGTAAGGCCTTGGCCCACATTATGCAAAGAAATTTGGATACTGTGTGTCCAAGAGATTCTCACTCTGACCAAGTAAACTCTGCTTTATTTCCTTTGCCTCAACCTTCTCTGATAAGGCTGTTAAGTCTGATAAGGAATAAGGAATAAGTTTGATCTGACAATGGTCATAGACAATATTCAGCTTTACAAAAGATGCATTATAAAGCAAATATACATGCAGGAAACTGGGGATTTATGAAATGTATATAACTATAAATGAGCAGACTTAGGCTTTAAATGTATATCTTGCCGATTTGAAGTCTAGGATTGTTATAATACCCTATCAATTCATTTTCAAAATACGATTTTATTCCAGAATAGAATGTAACTGGGATTTAAAAAGCACATGAGTCTAGCAGGAAACATCAGGTAGGAGCAATAAGAGCTCTAGCTAGGTATAAAATATCAGAGTAGTTACCAGTATTTAGTAATTCCCTAATCAATCTAATGGATGCCCAAATGTAGTTGGTTTCTCAAGGGATTAAACAATGCAACACACATAACTGTACACTATACAAATGTGTAAATCATATAAATGAGAAAATATTACAAAACACAGCTAGTGACCAGTAAAACATGTCATTCAAAGACAAATGCAATTCCACTCTTCTCAGAATATCTCTGGTTCCCCCAGATATTGATCAACAATTTTAGAATTTTGTCAGCTATAGTGACGCTCATGATGAAATATGCAAATGCAAATCTGGAAGGTTTTTTACAGATCAGAAAACAGCCTCTTTTGTTTTTGTTCAAACTCACAAAGGTAACTATTGACAGTTTCAGATCCAGAACCAAAGACCCCTGACTTGCCCATGTTCTCCCAATTACTATCCTATAACTTAGCACTTTATTCTACAGGAAGTTCCACCTTATTAAGAAATCAACTACTGATAACTGAAGTGCAAAATGAACAATCTTATGCTCAATTTGAGGAAATGCCACTACTAAAAATTACCCCTCCTTCTGGGGACATGAATTTTCTACTAGAGCATAATGGTTTCAGTGATTTCTGTCCAGGGAATGGCTTCGACTAGGGCAGGAGGTCTAGTTCAACCGTTTAGGTCTTAGGGAAGAAAACAAAGTATATTCAACCACTTAACTATTCAAAAGTAAAAATTCAATGTGCAAATTTTCTTATGGAGCCCTATTTATAGTCCGCCTGTCAATTGCCTTTTTTTCTGTGCTTTTTCACATCTCCTAGAATTCTCTCTAGCTATGACCCAATAACTACTCATCACACAGATTAGTCATTTTGCAGAAGGTTCTCAGAGAGAATAATCTCAGACTCTCAGTTTAAATCCTATTAGAAGTGGTGGACAATCTCTGTGAAACTATTTACAGCTTTTATCCCTCAGATATAACTACCTTGGAATGCATTAAAATATTTATTGTATTTAAAAAGGTGAACCTCAAGTTAGAGACCCTCTAGTCTGTCAAAGATTTCGTTACAATCCTGTAACAGACTTTTCCTGAACAAAATGCAAGTCCTTTAATCTGGTATCTCCTATAAGGAAAAGATGGCTTTTACATACAACTACCAGTGTCCAGGACTGCATTTAGTGTCACCTAATCGGAAAAACAGTAAACACGTCAGCCTTTTTACAACAATCCCTGGCATCTGGTTATGTCAGCAGGTTCCAGTGGGTGAGGACTTTTAAGAACCCCAGGGATTTAAATACTCTTTCAGTTTCCTGAACTGGTTCTGTCAGAACACATTTTATACTGGAAAATGTACAGTGTTAAAAGAATAAACCATTAATGTGTCCTAACCATATATGCCTTTTGTTTTTTTTAACCATCAAAACTTAGTGATACCCCTTTACATGAATTGCATAGGGTGGTATTAACATGTAAAAGAAGTAAAGGAATACTGCTTGAAATTAGTGGTGCTTTTCAGTCACGGCTGTCCTGACTCTGGTCAGTGGACAATAGACCAGGAAGTCATGTGCCATGCAAGTCAGGAGACTGACCACCTAAATCCACGGTTCCTGGGGAAACTGAAAAGGGCAGGGCCTGGGGGCTATCTGTATTTCCCTCCTCTCCTACTAAACTGATGATCATGACTGGAAGACTTTTTCCCAGGGAGTTTATCACCTGAAGGACGTGGAGAAGAGAAACAGAGAAGGACAATACTCCAAAGAGATCTCATTGGTAAAGAAAAGAGAGCTCAGAAACCAACCCAACTAAACAGATGCATGTTCCCAAAAAGTGGAGAGTGAAAGAAACAGACATGAGGTAAGGCGATGACCCAGATGTACTTCAAGGTGGTTTCCATGCCTTAGGGAATTAGGCCTGATGGGAAGTAAACTTCCTCTAACATCCTTAACTAGTCAAGTTGTTCCTTTTTCCTTAAAGAATTGAATAAGGAATAGAGACACTGACTGGCAGAATCCACTCCAGTACTGCAGTCTCCCAGGGATAGACATTAGTCCCTTTCCCTTTATAGAAAAATGAATAAGCAATTCTCTCCAGAAAACCATTTAACCATTGATGACATAGGTCTGTCCTCACCTAAAATCTTGGATAGTCAAGGCCTTCTATTATAGAAAAAATAGTTAAGCAACTATTATGCTATACTATATGCAAAAATAGGAATAGTTGTTCTTCACGGATTTTTTAAAAAATCCAGATGAATATTTAAAAATTCTCACAAACTCTCAATAATCTGATGACAATAAATTCCAGTAATTAACTTTCTGAGAACTTACTATGTATAAAGCACTATGCTTGATGATGTAATCATTAACCACTTTAAGCAGACACGCTGTTTACAGTAGTAATACAAGGGATCAAAATAAAAATACTAACTTTTTGAAATTTCACTTTAATTATGAAATGCCTAAAAGTATCTATATGTACAACTTGGCCACACAATGTAATATCAGTAAGTTAAAAGACTTGCTTCAGATTTCTATACCTTTTTTTTTTTTTTTTACTTTTAGAGCTAATTAAATTATTGTATTGGTGTTAACACACTGTATTCTCATTCTCTCGCTCTTGCTCTCGCTCTCTCTCTTTTCTTTTCTTAATTTTCCAGAGGACAGAGAGATAGAGAAAGCACCTCGATGGGGCACTATCACAGTGCAACTCATTCTCTTCCATTTCTCTATCTTGGGATTTGGAGCATGCACACATGCACAGGTACACACAACCCACAGGTTTTCCAACCCACCAAGGCCAGGATTCAGACCATCCATGTTGGTGGTCATCCATGTTGGATTCAACTCCCTAAATCACTAAGCCATGGGGGGGGAGCCCAATACACAGTATTCTAATACACGTTTTTTCCTAGTATTACATCTCAGTCTATCCATATAAAGTTACAACCATCTTAAATGTTTCAAAAATCGTGTTACATTTATACTGTCTTTTTTCTAAAAAAAAATTATTTATTTCATTTCCTTTATTTACTTACTTATTTTTTAATCTGACCAGAAACATACAAAAAGAGAGGGAAAGTGAGAAAGCGAGCTCCCAGGTTCAGGACTCTAACTGCTGCCAGCCATGTGGGAGTTCAGAGCCTTAATCATCATGCTACAGGGTAGCCCCAGTACAGTGTGCTCTTTTACATCTATATTTTAACAACATATTTTGGAGATACACCCTGTTTCGTTCACTTTAACCACTACATTGTTTTGCACTACATAAATTACCATGAATTATGTAACTGACTATTTGCTAAATGCCTTTGATTAGGATTATGGAAGCGTCCCTTCATTAATAATTTTACTTAAAGTTTTTAACTTATCAAATGTTTTACCACATCTATTGAGCTACTGTATTCTTGAGATAAAATCAGTAAGTTACTTTTTTTGCTATATAGGTTACTGGATTTGATTTCCTATTATTTTATTATACATGAATTTATATTCTACCATGAAAATAAAGTATTCTTTTCTTAACTATTTAAGCTTGTCCCTGCTTCATTATCAAGGTTATAATAGCCTCAGAAAATAATCAGAACTTTTACCTTCTTTTCTGGTCTTTGAGAAAGTTTGAATATTTAGACATTACAAATTCTTTAATGGTTTTTAAAATTAACTTGCAAAACTTATGTGCCTTTTTTTGTCCTGTTCTTTCTTTTATGAAGCAAAAGCAGTTTGCAGGAAAAGACATTTAAGTATTGGTTTAAATGCTTTAATGGTTATGGGTCTTTTTGATTTTCTAATTCCTCCAGTGTTAAATTTCATAAATTGTTTTGACAATTTGCATTTTTGTTTTTCAAATGTATTGGTATAATTTTTTTATAAAGTTAATTATTTTTTAAAAATTAGGCAACAACTCCCTTTTGATTCAATATATAGTTTATTTTTACCTTTTGTTTTTTTCTTATATACAGAATGGAGGTCTAAATATGGTTTTAAAATTTTGAAACAATGCAATAATGGGCAATTGTAGCTTTTTCCCTTCTGAGAAGAATTACATTTCTACGTATTTCTTGATTAGTCATATTCTTGAAAAAATTTGTCTTCTTTACCTTATACTTACATTAAGTCCACCTGTTTCTATTTACATATCTGCATTTATTTCATTTTAGTTAATGACTTTATTACAGTAAAAACTAGGAAGGATTGAATTACCCTATATTATTCACTACAGTAAATTTCATTTGGTAAAACAACACTCTTATAAAGGTGCATGAGGTAGGTCTTAAAATATTACTTGTTGCAGAAACCAATTGTTAAAATGGCATTTACCATATTAGAATTTATCCTGTAAGTCATTAATGTTCTTTTCTGTGACTCACTTTTCTCTAACACATTTCAACTTCAAAGACAGTAACATTTAAGACTGCATTATGTTTATATGACATTTTCTCATGAAATTTCTTGTAAAAATTTTAATATAATAAACATAATAGAGATTTACCAGTGGTGACTCTGTAGGTTTAGAATCTTCAAAGTTTGGCCTCTCCTGCAGATTGCTAAATTCCAAGCATTCTTTGATGTCTTGAGATAATTTCTCTTCAATGGAAGGTTTTTCTAAATCTATACATGGCAAAGAATCCTTGCTTTCAAGTGATATGCAGAAATCATCAGACTTTTTACTACTTTCTGTTTCTATACTTTTCTCTTTTAAATTTCTTTCAAAACAGCTGTTTTCCCCCATTTTTTCAATGTCAAAAGAATAAACATCAGGATCCACAATGTTGCCAAAATCTGTATTTGATGTTCCTGCTGTTGAAAACACACAATTGCAATAGGTAAATGAATAAATGTAAACAAGTTAATTAAATTGTTTATAGACCTAAAGATCTATGGTAAAACCTGTACCAATAAACACTGTTAAATAAAAAATATTACACTGAGGTGTCAGTGTTGAATAGTTCTACTGCGCTTATGTCCATAAATGGTAATCGGTTTGCTTACACAACCCGATGTTAATAGCAAGACTAATGAAAAGAGGCAAGATTTTATTTTGTAGGAAAATCATGGAATGAGTGGATATCTTTGTTTCAGCCTGTTCGTCAACACCCACTTCCCCACCTCTCACTCACTCCAATGAGGTAACCGTAATTCAAAACAAATACTGCAGAGGGAACCTTGTGTCCACATGTTGCCTTTCCTCCCTAGCATACCTGGTGATGATGAGAGGGAAAAGGGAAATTGGCCAGATATAAAAACAGCAGTAGTTAGGGGCACAGAAAATGTGTAGCTGAGACACCACCTGCCTCTAGAAAGCTACAAAATGAGCAAGATTGCATTAGTCACCCAGCTCATTATGTCTGCTTTAAATAAATCTCATGGTTTAGATCATTGGTTTTCAACCTGGCCGCACAATGGAATCATCTGAAGGTGCTGTTTAAAATTGTCAGTGCATAGGCCTGACCCCAAACCAATTAAATCCCACACTGGGAGTGAAATTCGGGTGCTGGTCTTTTTTGTATTTTTCCCACCAAATTCCACAGGTGATTATAATGTGCAGCCAGGGTGGGGAAACACTGGTCTAGAGTTTTGGAAGAATAAAAATTCTTTAAGGACTGTTGTGTCATGTTGCTTTCATTTAAAATAAAATTGCATGCACTATTATCTAGATGGAATACAGCCTCACCTGATTTTTTCCTTTTTCTCTTTCCAAACAAATATCTCTAAAAATAGGCTGCATAAAATAATAGAGGCTTGGGCCAAAATAATCTGCAGTGATGTAAATTCAGCTTTACAGTCCAAAGAACTTACTTTTATAACCAAATGCTTGTATACTTTGGCAATTACACATAGTATTTAGAATTGCCACTTCCTACAACTGTCACCTCTTACATACCACAAATATTATAAGAGAAGAAGAATGTCAGAGAAAAATGTTTTATCTGTATGTCAGAGAAATGTGTTTTTAAGAAAAATGTTTATAAAGACTATTCAATATAATAAAAATTCCACAATACTGTTGTACTTCCCCTTCAACCTAAATAGTAACTATCTATGTGATTTGTTTGAAGAATAAGCTATCCTTTTCTATATTGAAATATCTACTATTACCTTAAGAATTTTTTTTCAAGATCACAACATTGCACTATTAGTAACCTATCCATTGCTGCTAAAGAGTGACTAAAAAGCCTTTCATAATAAGGTTAAAAATGCAATGCAGAAACTATAGGTATGATTTAATTTATTCTATTCATTAGAAGCCCTGTTAAGTTATAAAATTTTGTCTGTTGGTTCGACATTTTAAAAAAACAACCTAATCAGTCTCACAGATGGGTTAAAAAAAATCACATGATCATATAAAGAGATAAAATAAAAAGCATTTGACAAAACCTAACTCCGATTCATGGTAAATATAATAGGCAAAGTAAGAAAAGAATTTCCTTAATCTGATAAAGAACATTTACAAAAAATTTACAGCTAACATCATGCTTAATGGTGACAAATTAGAAACTTTCATGCAATGATCAAAACAAGGCAAGATTTCCCCCTTTTGCATTGTTTAATGTATCGTACTGGAAGGGAAGTCCTATCTAATACAATCAGACAAGAAAGAGAAGTCAAAGGTAAAAGATTCACCCTATAAGAATGAAGAAGTAATTTTTTTTTTGGTAGTTGACAGTTTTCTATGAAGATTTAAAAGAATCACACACACCAAAAAATCCCTTTGTGGAAGTAACAGGCAGTTGTAGCAAGGCTGCAGGATGCAAGTTAACATAACAAGTCAGTCACCTTCCCTATGTACTGGCTGAGAATCCTCTATCCAAAATCCTTGTGTTCAGATCTCTTTCAGAATTCCTATTATTTCAGATTCTGAAAAACCTTCATATACATAATGAGATATCTTTTGGATGATAATAATTCTAAACATAAAATTTATCTATGTCTCATAGACACTGTATATACACAGCTTGAAGGTAATTTATACTACTCTTGTATGACAACATTTCAACTGCAATCCTTCACATGTGGTCAGGTGCGAAACTTTTAACTTGGGGCATCCTGTCAGCACTCAGAAAGTTTCAGACCTTGGCATATTTTGAATTTTAAATCTCAGATTAGGGATGCTGGATCTGAACAGTAATGAAGAAGGGGACTTGCAAATCAAAACACAGACCTTTTACATTAGTATCAAAAAATGACATACCTATGAATGTAACAAAATATGCACAAGAGCTATACGAGGAAAACTACAAAGTTCCGATGTAAAAAATCAAACAGACAGAGCTAATCCACTATCATGAATAGGAAGATTTAATATTGTCAAGATGTCAATTCTTCCTAAATTGATCTATAAATGACAATTATCTACAAGTGACACAATCCCGATCAAAATCCTAGTTTTCTTTATGGATATCAATAAACTGATTCTAAAGTTTATAAGGAGAGAAAAAATGACCTAGCAGAACCAATACAATACCAAAAGAGAGCAAAGAGGGCTGACAAATCCCTATTTCAAGAATTACTGTGAATCTGCACTGATCAAAACAGTTACTAGCAAAAATGTAGACAGATAGGTCAGTGGGGCAGCATAGACAGCCCAGAGTAGACCCAAGAAATACAGTCAACCAATCTCCAAAGAAGAGTAAAGGTAATACAATGAAGAAAAGATAGTCTTGACAAGAAATGTATGAAACAACTGGATATCCATTTGCCAAAAATAAAGAATCTAGACACAGCACAGACCACACATGTGTCCCAAGAGAGTCACATCCATGTCAACCAGGAAAGAGATTTCTCTTAGCCCAATATGCCGGTTTTTCTTTGACTTTAAACTAATACTATTATCACTTCATTAAATTATGAATCGAAGATGACATGTTCATTGAAACAAAAATCTAACTCCCAGGACAGGATACTTGTGTGTGACTATTTTTATATCATGATATTAAAGCTTGGAAACTGAAACCAAACATTCTCATATGGCATTGTAATCTATAGGTCTCAAGGGAACTCTTAGTAATAACAACATAGAAATATGAACAAGATGATTTGTTTATTGTATAAAATTTTATTTTATAAAATTTTGCAATTTTATTATATAAAATTTGAATGTTTTTGAAAATGATTTATATAAGTGACAGCAACAGGGTACCATTCGAATTTTTATCACTACAAGGCCTTCTGAGTAATCTTTTAAATGCTAAGCCCACAGTAACTTTTGGAGAGTTATTGGTTATTTCCATTGAAAATACAAGCCATTATTCATTAACTAAAAAAAGTATTTACAAAAAAATTATATATATTCTCAACCAATTTTATTCTGGGTACTAACTTTTCAAGTTCTAAAATGAACAGCATTCAGGCAAAGATTTTATAGACTGCAATATCTACTGGTTTTATTAAATTACCAACATTCATTGTGAATAATAATGAGTAACAAGAAATTAGTTACCTTTTGAGTTATCTTTACAATATGTAGAGCTGTTCCTCAGACAAAGATCTAAGAGGTTTATTTTTCCTTTGCTGAAAACATGATGTTCGTAGATGTAATTTTCGTTGGGAAAACTATCCTTCTGATAGGACTTAAAGGTACAGCTTCCATGTTTAAGGACAAGTAAAAGAAAAAGTTGAGAAAAATTATAGTGAAGTTTTTTTTAAAGTTTCAGTTTATTAACGCAAAGAAAAAACTTAATGGAATAGGTTATTTATGTTCATTCTTTTTTAACCTTATTGTGAACACATTCTAAAGTACAAGTAACCAAACAGCATTATGGATTTAAAGGAATAGTCACCTGGACCAAGTCCAACTCAACTCCAAAATTTCAATTGAAAATGTCTTCTTTTCACATTCTTCTAAAAATAGAGGGTTATCTTTCAAGCTCAATGAAATCTGATCAAATCAAGGTTTTACTTCCATATAAACATTATTTATTTATCAATGAGCTATATGAGATAAGAAGCAGCATATGGTATGCAGGTTTCAATATTTTTGCTATAGGATGCATGCACTTGCTGGAGAGACAGAGAAAGAGAGAGACAGAGAAACAGAAAGCGAGAAATCAACCCCCCCCACACACAGGGAGTATGGCCACAGCACAATCCCTTCTCCTCTGTTCTCCTCTTGGGATTTTGGGTATGCACACACACACACACACCCAGCATGAGTTTTAAGTCGCCAGGTCCTGGTCTCGAACCACGGTCGACTACATGGGAGTCTTCCAACATAACCATCATGCCATCTGCTGGTCTTGCAGGTTTCAATTTTTAATAATGACTACTACCTATAAGTATAGTGACAATTTAAATAATGGCCTCTATGAATTGAATAATATATTTAATAGTACTTAGTATTTTGTAATCTATATAGTACAGCATAAAATTCATGAATTACACTTAAAAAAAAAAAAAACCCTCCTCTCATGTTGTTTATGATTCCCAGGAAGGAGACAGATTCAAGTAGTTTGTTGTTGTTGTTGTTGTTTTTTGGAATTATTTATTTATTTAATTCGTTTTGTTATTATTATTTTTTAATTTGACCAAACAGAGACAGAGAGAGAAAGGGAAAGCCAGAAAGCAAGCCACCAGGTCTGAGACTCAAACCATGGTTGGCCAAGTGGGAATCCAGCGCCCTTACCCACCATACCACCTGCCAGCCCCATGTTCAAGTAGTTTTAACGGTGCCTCCAAACCAACACCGTAAAACTACTGCCAAACCCTGATCAGTAACTTTCTCCACCTCCTCTAATAGCATACATAGGAGTCCAAGTGAAGACAAGTGGTAAGATACATAAAATAACTGAAATATAGGCCAAATTGCCATTTGTTTCCTTGGGTATACCACAGTGCATATAAACCTATTATCTACAGAGCAGAGAGTTGTCTTCTGCCAAACCTAGATTCCAAAAGCACATTTGTTACTAGATAACCTGGATCTACACATCCAGGACTCAGGGCTTTTGGAATGCCCAGGCATCACGTAGGTCCTTAGATGTTACAAAATGCTGACAGGGACCTAAAGTCAATCTTAACAAAGGACCTGCTCCTGGCAGTGCTGATGCACTGCTCAAGAGATGCTGGGTGCCACGTGGAACCGTGGTTTGAATCCCCTCCCTGTTCTGCCTGAAACATGCCAGGCCCAGGACCTGGTGAGCTACAGGACTGAAATAAGCAGATTGTGGCATGACAGTGTAGGGTGTTCTTCTCTCTCTCCCTCTGATTCTCATGCTCACATGTGTGCATATTCTTTATTATAATGAAAGAGAGAGTAAATAAGACTATTTTATTCAAACTATTAAAAATCTTAAAGAATTGATGTAATGGCTATTTTTTTTTTTCTTAAGAGAGATTTTTGCTATAGGGCTCATGTGATCGCCAAAGATAGAAAGCAAGAAAGCAAGAAGCATCACCCCCCGGGGGGGATGACCACACTACCATCGCTTCTCCTCCACTCTCCTCTCAGGATTTGGGACATGCACGCACACGCGCCCTGCACGAGTTTTACACTGCTGGGTCCAGGACCAGAACTATGCGGGAGTCCAGCAACATAACACTTGTGCCATCTGCTGGTCCTCAGTTTAATGGCTATTCTAAAGGAACTTGTCTCCAATGTTTACTCAAGTTAATACTTGTAGTCAAAATATCTGAAATCCTAAAGTTTCAACAACAAAGGGGACTTCGAGTAGTCTCTGGCATTATTAAGAGATACATGTCGAGAACTAGCGGTTAGTGTAATGGCTATGTCGCTGGACACCCACGTAGTCGACCGCGGTTCGCGTCCCAGACCCGGTGGCTTAAAACTCACGCCGGGCGCGTGTGCGTGCGTGCCCAAGATCCTGAGAGGAGAATGGAGGAGAAGGGATTGTGGCGTGACCATCCCCTCTGGGGGGTGATTTCTCGCTTTCTGTCTCTATGTCTCTCTCTGTCTGTCTGGCGAGCGCACGTGCCCTATAGCGAAAACCTCTCCAAACAAAAAAAGAGAGAGAGATACACATAGACAGCACCATTACACTTCATGTATTAGTTACACACCAACAGCTGCCTAGGAAGTAATCTAGAGTACCAGAATCCTTCCGGTCTTTCAACCTAATCATTTGTAACTGTTTTCAGTAAATTCATACCAGGCTGGAGTAAAGAAAATCCAAAGCAGGTCTTTAGCGAAAAGAGGAAAGATCATATGAAATATATCAGACTTGGTCAACATTTCTAATAATAACAATTTCTAAATTCATAAGACTTTGTTAGATAATCCAAATATTAAGAATACAAACACAGACAATTTTCGGAGTAAAATGCACTCTAACACTAAGTCGCGTGTTTTCGACACCATAGATTACTCATTTAAAGTAAGAGTTGAATGTATGTTCATGGGAGGGGTTTTAATAAGCAACCAAAGTAAAGAGAAAGTTCTTACCTTTGTTGACTGTCTGAATCAGCTAATTCAACTTTGTAAGGCACGATATTTTCTGGTTCAAATTCCTCTTCATAAGTCTTATTAAATGTATGTTACAAACTATTAGTATGTTCAACAAATGTATTATACTTTAACCAGCTAACTTGGGGGTAATATTTAAGAGTACTTTATTCCTACAAATGATGTCATGAGAGCTCTAATTATATTCCAGAACACATAAGTTCTAGAAGAACTAAGCAAATTCAACAGGTATCTGTTGAGGACAAAACAACCTTCAGAAGGTTGGCAGGTGTATAGACTAAGCTTTCAGAAGAAAACAGGAAAAAACTATACTCTATTCTAGTTTAAAGCAATAGAAATACATAGGATACACAGAATAAGTGTTACAATCAGCTCCTAGAGGGCTGGAAACTTAGAAATACATTATGTTGGTCACGTCCTACCCTGCAGTCCAGGGGCTCTAAATGACTTTTCAAGAGATTTGTGTTAAAGTTATAATTACACTTAACTTCTGAATTATTAAATATTATTTTTTGTTTAAGTAAAAAATATTAAATAAAATTCAAAATTTTAAGTGCAAAACTAAATCTGCATTTAAGTTTTATTGAACATATACCATAATGAGAATGATCTTTGTTAATAAGCCTGCAAACAAAGAACTAAACTAACCAAACACAAAACTAATATTTCCACAATTTAAAGTAGTAAAATTTACCTCACCTCTCGTACTGAATGTTTAAAAAAAAAATGACAATACTTATTTATCTCATAAATGTACTCTCTATGTTAAAAATAATATTGTTTCGTTCTTATCAGCAGGTTTAAATGTTAAAGGTAAATAGTTGTAAACGATGTTGGGTTATGAAAGAAATCGTGCTGGCAATAACACATAGATTTAATTGTATGAGGAATTTCCTGTTTGCTAGGGAACATGAAATGATCAGGCACTTACATCATCCAGTTCGACTATTTTTAGAGACGGTTCGGGTCTCTCTCTGTTCAGTTCTTCTACTGGCAGAAAAAGAGCTGGATATTGTACTTCGATCTTCTCAACTAGTAAATAAGATTAGAAAATAATCTTTCAGAATATACCTATCTGATCATTTTCTTTCTTCAAATAATATCACCAACAATAAAAGGATGGTATTTGCTTCTGCATCCACACTGAGGTATAAATACTGTGAATTTCCTCAGCTTAAGTGAATACACATTTTCTTACCATCCAATTTTTTAATTAAACTATTTAAGTGAATGCAAAGTAAATGAGCATGAAGAAAAGAGCGTATGCAAATTTTGATCTAGAGATAAAGGGTTATATAATTCAGTTGAGAATGATATATTAATGAAACCAAAAGCAGATTTTGATTAATGTTTAGTGCATGTAACTGAAAAGAATTTGTTTGTAAATATCTAATCAAGGCTGAACTGACCGTCACTGTCTTCATCGCTGTCATCCTGAGAACACGGTGCCTCTCGAGTGGTTTTACAGGAATGTGCAAATGTATCTGGTAACAAATGGAGTTGCTCCTGTGGAGTTCTACAGAACAAGAAATAGTCAAAGGACCAAAAAACAGTATATAAAATGTTTCAAGACAAAAATCTTAATTTATCTGTCAAATGAGTGAGCATACAAAAATTAATGATAGAATCATAACCATACCTTTAATTCACAGAGGCAAGGTACAACTGTCTAACAATCTTTATTTTTGGTTTTGTTTGAGTTTTTTACTATAGGGCACATGTAGTCACCAGAGAGAGACAGAAAGAGAAAGGGAAAGTGAGAAATCACCCACCCCAGTGGGGATGGCCACACCACAATTCCTTCTCCATTCTCCTCCTGGATTTTGGGCACACATGCACATGTGCCTAGTGTGTTTTTCAAGCAATTGGGTCTGGGCCTCCAACTGTGTAGTTTGGGCTGTGGGATCCCTTGCCTTACCCTCCACATCATCTACTGACCCTGATTGTCTAATAATCTTATTGTGTAAAAAAATAAAATCTTCGTAAATCAAGGTGACATCACACAACAATTTTAAATTGCCTCTCTTATTCCTATTTGTTTAAGATGAAAATCAAAGTTATTATAGAAGTCAGCGTTTTCTCCAAAGCCATATGAAGTCCATAAATTACACAATGCTATCTTAAAGGCTAATTTATGAGTGTGTGTTTTATCTTACAGCGTTTGCATTATGCTGATAAGTGCTAAGAGAACCTAAGAGCATTTGTTTAGATTTTCACACCAGAAGAGTGATAAAATTGGCTCTTCCCGTGTTATGCATTCAGGTCCAACAATATGAATGTTCATGATATGAATGTTTGACTGTGACATCTATTAATAAAGCTCAATTCTGCTGAAAGGCAATACAACCCTGGAATTCTCAAAAGCCATGAATGTCTATTGGGTTCGAGGAAGTATTTCTGGATTTGGGGGAGAAGGGCCACTTCTAAGCCAAGAATATAAGTGGCTACAAGCTCTTCTGTACCATGTAAGCTCAGAAGGTCCCTAAGAATAAGGCAGGGCCTTCATAACGATCTGATTAGTAGTTCACACTGATGTGAAGCTTATGTGCCAGGCTCTGTTCAAACTAATTTTTGCATATAATGTTTTAACGATCTCCAGCGATGTAACCATTACACCATCTGCTGGTCCCATACCATGCTTTTTTAAAAGCTCATGCCAGGAAGCCAGGAAATATGGACAACTAGACACACCCCGTACAACTACTCTTCATTGGAAAAGATCAAAAAAGATTAAATAAGCTGCACTTGGAACAGAGGAACAAAGAGAAAATACCAGAACACAAAAAGGAAAAAAAAATTACAAAAAAGGGAAACCTCTGAGATGCCGAAACCAGGATGAAGACATAAGGAAGGAGACGAGGTTCTGGGTTTGGAGAGGTCAGAGCCTCAGGAAGCTCTTCACTGAAGGGAAGACGTCCGCAATGTCCCAGGCACTAACCAACCGCACCTAGGATGCTTGCAGTCCCAGACATAGGCAAGTTGCAAAGTCATACAGATCTCAAACCCAGTGAACAGCACTTTCCCGGAGTCCTGAAGGTGCACTAACCCAAAAGAGGAACACGGGCTGGACTGCCGCACCCTGGGACCCAAGCGCCAACGGTGCAGCACTGTTTGGGAAGGAGAGCCACAACCAAAATATGTCCTGCCCTTCAGGGCCACAGACCTTGCACCTCCACATCCTGTTATCAAGTCCTGTTGTCAAGCCAACACTACACATAATGGATGACGGATTCTATGATCTAGCAGGGATTCCAGCATCTGAGTCCTCCAGCACCTCGCTCTTAGGAGAGTGAGTGATGCAATGCGGTTGAGAGGATACTTCTGAGAGACAGATCATCCATGCAGGTATCCCCCAAACTGAGGCCTCTTGACACCCACCCTTCACCAGAGATGGTCATCTCTGGACGTCCTCCCAGAAATTGAGGACTCTTCACACCTCTCTCCAGAAACATGGGCCTCTGGACACTTGACCACCAGAGACTGAATCATCTAAAAGCTCTTAAGAGGTGACAGACTCCTTACTGCCTCTCCCCATCTTCAGCCATCACTGGCAACCCTGCCCACTCACCTATCTCCACTCCCAGAACAAAAGCACAGTCAGCAGAGAAAGCAGCCGACCTACCCACCCAAGCGGCTTCCTTGCTACTCACGTGCCCACATACCAGTATCCCCACCTGAGGGACCCCTGGGGACACAACTGCACCTAGCTCAGCTTTCCTGCACAGCACAGGTGCCCACATTCTGGAGCTCACAGTGCTGACCCCCTGCCCAGTACAG